TTCTTTCACCGAGTCAGTTACAACATTAAGAATCCGGGAACTTTCCGATACCATCTTGCATACTGTGCAGTCTGGTAGAAGTTTACAAACATTTAGGAAGACTGACTGGGACACAATATAGTTTTCCTTCAGCCCTTCCAGACAAATGTGGACTATTATATTAAATCAGGCTATGGCAGATTCCTTTCCAGTTCATTATTCACTGTCATCTGATCATTTAAAGCTATGGAGGCTCTCACAAACTGTGTCATTAAACAAATTACAAACACAGGAGTTTTCCTATAATGATAAAAACCACCTTTTTTTGTTAATGTGGTGTTTTGAAGTATTAAAACCAGGACATTTTGGAACACTTACAAGGAATAACTTCATTTAAAGCATCAGTCATTGACAGTCTCCAAGTTGGCTAACTGCAGAGTGTGTGGAAGACTGCTTACACATACAGGATCAGATAAAAGAGTACTGACATGTAGAATGTTTTAAAAGAAACTTTGCAGTCATAATTACGAAGTAAAAAAATATTTAAATGGATTTATACATAAAGACTGCATGGTATGGAATGTGCCAACAAAAATGGTTACTGACTTAAACAAATTGTGTGATAGTGAATTTCAATTGTGTTACAGCTTGATTGTAGGAATGTGGTTACATACAAGACACTTTAACGTGAATCAAAATAAATGGTGCACAGCTCTGTTAATGACAGAATTATCAATGAGTTGAAACATTCTCCAATTTACATCTTGTATGTGTTAGATTACAGTTTGTCACAGATGTCTAAGACTGAGCATGTTTATTCAGTGTGTTCAGGTTCTGTTATGACTATGTTCATTAAAAATACAAGACGTGAATTCTTTTGAAATTTCACACTCTGTATTCAAAATAGTCTCCTCCTAAATCAATACATAGCTGGAATAGATTGAAAAGTCTTCGAAAACAGTCATTGTACTCCTTTTGTGGAATCGCATTTAAAACTGTGGTATATTCCCCTTTGAATGTCCTGGATGGTGTTGTGACGGCTTCTTTTCATTGCCAACTTAACTTCTGGGAAGAACCAGAAATCTACTGGAGCCAAATCTGACAAATATGGAGGATGATCAAGGACTGTGATCCCTTTTCTGGCCAAAAATCGCGCACGATCTTTGATTTGTGGGGTGGGGCATTGTCGTGGAGGAGTGACCAGGAACCTTGCTCTCGATATTCAGGTCAAATTCGAAGAATTCTCGCCCACAAATGATTGAGGACTCCTAGCTAATAATCAGAATTCACTGTTTGACCTGGCAGAAATTCCTTGTGAATGATTGCTTTGGAATCGAAGAAAACGGTTAACACTGTCTTTACTCAGTCCTTTTGCATGCGCACTTTCTTTGGTTTCGGCTGGCTTCTTTGGGCTCAACCACGCTGCACTCTGCCGCTTTGTGAGAGGCTTATATTGAAAACACTATATCTCGTTACCAGTAACAATCTATTTTGTAAATTCTGTATCACTTTAGGCCGACACACAAAGACAGCTGTACCGACGTCTGTACGGTTCATGTCGCATCAAGTAGTAGAATATAAAGTGTAGTCTTAGCTTTCATATGTGACGCATGCGACATCTACCGTACGCCAGTCGTAGAGCAAAGAAATGTATTTGGTCTCTAGTGTGAAAAGGAGGTCGTACGGCAAAGAAAAATCGTACGACATTTTTCCGTACGACCGATGTCGCTGTGTGTGTTCGAGCCCTAACATGTCTTTGCAGTGTTCCTCTCTGGCATGTTTTTCATCGCCTTACAGCGCGTGCGGTACAAACCGCGCACAGACCTTCCGTTTGCCAAAATTTGATGCACAGTACTTTCCGTTATTCCCAAAAGCTCCTCGATGAGTCTTCCAGAAACATCTGTCTGATGCGATGCAAGGATTTCGGTAACTTTTTTCACATTTTCTTCAGTGCGACTTGTTCTCGGCTTTGATGCACGTGGAGCGTCTTCAATGTCCTCCCTGCCGTCACGAAATACAGCCTACCATCGAAAAATGATCGAGCGAATCAAACAATCACTACCGTACACACTTTTCATCATTTCGTACGCTTCTCCGGCTGTTTTGCCTAACTTCAAACAAAATTTGATATTGGCTCTCCGTTCAGCTGCCATTTTCCGACGAGCGTCAGAACAGTACTGTTACATTCAGGGTCAGAACGGTCAGAACCGTCAGAACACATGATGCAGCGATGCTTGCGCTTTGAAATTATAGACAGCCACAGCTGAAACTTCAAGAATCTTAACGCCACAACTCGCGAACAGATGGCATTGCAGGGCAAAATAAAAAAGAAGAGAGTCCTAACGGATCCTGGACACACCGTGTAGTCTCTTAGGATATATCTTCAGTTTTCAAAATTTGGCTAACGTCATTCTTATGGTCCCAGATGCACTTAAGACGTTCAGGCTGACAATCTCACAACCCTCTGAGCCGTAACGGCCTTTTACAGGGATAGCGCCTTTTTACTGTAAAGCAGTTTGTATTACGTGTAGCTAACGTTTCATTTTGGTTTATCATATGGTACAATGAAATTCTGGAATGAACTACTTGGCTAAATTACATGTTTTAAAGTCTGGGTTTTAGCATGACACAACAAAATCCACCAATTATTGTATTTTTAGTTACAAGGAAAGTTAACGTGTCACAGTATTCTGGAAAGGCTGTCCATATTTTATTAAACTGGAAACAGTTGGGTAAACCAGAAGGAAACAGGAGAGTGGGAAAACCAAGGTTGAGATGGGAAAAATGTGTGTGGCAGGACATAAGAATTTTGGGTATAAAGAACTGGAGGAATGTAGCATCGAATAGAGAAGTATGGCGAGCAATCCTGAGGAAGGCGAGGGCTCACAAAGGGCTGTCGTGCCAGTGATGATGACGATGATGATGATGATGATGATGGAAATAATTGGGATTGCATCGTATCGTTAATAATAGTGTTACTAAACTGAAACAACGAAACGTATAAATTTTAAGGCCGAGGGTACAACCAAGGAAACTGGCAAATACAACGCAACCGCAATTTCCTACAAACGTCGCCAATTTCAGTCAGGCAACTGGTTTCCAGATTATCAGGCGCACACTGAGGAAACTTATGTTTGAGTAGTTGCTCACATCATCTCAAGTGTGAATTTTCGTCCGACGTAATGCATGACTGTATTTTCTAATTTCGTGCACTAATCTTCTGCAGTGGAAGATAATAATACTGATCCTATCATAATATGGTGGTAGTTGAGACGGCGACCATAAGGAAAATATTGGGATCTTAATTAATTTGTTTTAATTAAAGTCAGTCTATTTTAATCAGGAAATATCGCGTTCACACGCAATACGAAATTTTGACATACAGTGCAACAATTTTAGCAGGATAGAAGACACCTGGTGATGGCCATTCAGACTATCATCAGTGGATGATTTCACTACTCAAAACACCTACTTAGAAGAAATTTATTTATTATTCCATATTAAATTCTTTTCTAGTTACACAGACTTTCTGATACAGGAAACTTGAAATGTAACCCCTTGACCAAATAGAATAGGTAGTTGATCAAATGTTGCACTAGACATTCTTATGTACCTGAAAAAAGGCCGCTCTTCGAGATAACTTCAGGGCGTCATACATAGAGTAGAATTTTCCTTTTAAGTTTTTTTATTATAGAATTATTATAAATTCAAAAAAGTCCTAGGCAATTCCCATCCGGGCTTCTACAGCACATTCTTATAAAGATCTTATTCTATAATATCGGTTACCTCGCGATTCTTAATGTAGATTTTAACTTAAATATGAGAGTATGCTGTTAATAATCAGTAAAATTATTCCTTTTACTTTTCTTACATATCTCTTTTATATAAATGTAGGAATGTTTTTATGAAGTAACCGACGCCTTGCAGAAATATTTTTTTCTAGCCTTAAGAGCTCTGTAACTGACTTTGGGTATTCCTTTTGCTGTTCTCAGACAGAATGTCCATCATTGTTGCCCTTTGGTCCTCGTACAGTTTACAGTCCCAGATGATATGTTCCTCCGTTTACAGCCCATCACCATATTTGCATTTGGCCATAGACACAAGGTTAAATCTGTTTAGGATTGCTTTAGACAGGTGTGGTCTGCTCTGGTACGATTTATTGATAAGACGGCACGGCGGTTCATTTTTATCTCGCAGAAATAATGAAAGGCTTGATTGATATCATCTGCCATTTAGGAAACAGGCAACTTGCCCTCCGTGGTCATGACGAAAGGTAATTATGTGGAATTAGTTCACTTGTTGAGGAAATATGATCATGAACTGAATATTCACACCGAGAACAGTACAGTATTTACAGGTTTATTGAACAGAATACAAAACGACCATACTGACTCAATAAGTGACGTAAATTTTGATGAGTTGATTGCTATCAGTTCGTTTATTAGATACCACTGCTTCCCTTACCAAAAACAGTACCGCATGCCACTGGGATCTAGTCATCCGTAGTTTGCTTGTAGTTCCCTTACGGAGACCAGGTTAAAGATGAAAGCTAACAGGTTTCCCTAGAAACCTACTGCCTAGAGTCCATCCATCAAAGTGCCGCAATGGACGTTGTCGTATGCGCTTTTAATGTCAAGGAATAATAAGGCCGATACCGTGTTCCGTTCTTCAAACGCTTTTATTATATTACTGGATGTACTCGGGCATGCTCTCTAGTTTTATTTTATGAATCCTAAATAACAAAGCTGACTCTTAGTGTTGCATTGATACGTGTATATATACACGTATATATAACACTTAGCTGAGGCAATAGTCGCTCTCCTATTTGTCCGCACATAACGACGTACCGGGAATTACAATCTTTCGAATTCTACAACTTCTACTGTACATTGCTTTTCTTCGCGATCCTTAGGTAGACCGCATAATGCGCCATCTAGATACGTACTGTTACCCCTATTTGATCTGCCCGCCCTAACGAACAGGCCAACTCTATTTGGCACGTAATCGCTAGGTGGTGCTGGTGTAGTGTTGTGTTGTTTCAAGAACGACGCGTGAAGAATTGTGATGAAATTTTGAAAATGGCGTCAGTAGAAAATTTATCGAGTAGTGAGTTAAGGCGTAAACTTGCAGAATATGGATATGCAGCAGGACCAATTACGGAAACGTCACGAAAAGTATTATTAAAAAAGTTGAAACTTCTTATGGTGCAAGCGGGACGGTCAAGTGACGTAACGACCACTGGTAAATGGCGTCGAAGTTCATCGCGTTTCAGTTCTGGCGAAGAAGACAATGAGAATGATGATTTGAAAATGCGATTAAACAGCTCCATGCCTCCCCAGAGTTCTAATTTCAGAACCCCAGTACGAAACTTGTCAGTTGAAAGTTTGTCGGATAGTGAGTTAAGGTGTAAACTTGAAGAATATGGATTTCCAGCAGGGCCAGTTACAGAGACATCGCGAAACGTTTTAAAGAAAAAGTTGAAACTACTCATGGCACAGTCGGGAGGGTCAAGTGACGTAACGGTTGCTAGTAAGTGGCGCAGAAGTTCATCACGTTTCAGCTCTGGTGATGAAGACAGTGAAAACGATGATTTGAAAATGCGGTTAAACAGCAGCATGCCTCCCCCAAGTTCTAATTTCAGAACACCAAGAAGAAAATCGACGGGGAGGCTGAGTGAATATTCAGTTACGCCCGGTCGATTGGGTATTCGCAAAGAAATGAATTCCCGAAATGATGTATTCAGTGTGCCGAAAACGTTAATTCCTGAGAGTGATCCGAGTAAAAAGAGGCATTCACATCTTTCTAGCCCAGGCTTAAACCCAGGTTCATTAAGCAATTCTAGTGTCCGCCGTCTTTCATCTCGTCCTACGGTCTCGTCTGTAGTTAACGATGGTTTCGAGACCGGTTCAGATTCTGATATTGACAGCAAGACATTGGAAAGCAATGCCAGTCTGGTACTGCCTACATCTAGTTCTTCAGCAAGTGCACCTTGTTCTTCCTTTCTTTCCCGCCTGTCTTCTGTTAGACCTAAGCACAAAAGCGATTACAGTGGTGGTGATAGTAGTAGTGCTAATACTTTGCTTCGGTTTCGAAAGTCATTTCAGTCAGCAGGCAGTACTACCAACATTGCTGATAGTTTGACAGCAAACAGATCAGCACATTCACCATTCCAGTCCAACTTTGTTAAGAGGCTGTCTGGTACCTTTGGAACTCGAGGTAGGTATGGTAGAACAGTATGGCATTAACCCACTGAAGATATGTAAAATTTAATTCCCCATACAGGTTTCCTAAACTCTTTGGTGGTTTTGTTTTCTGTTCTACACTTTGTGAACCTTACATCTGAACCTTTTAAGATTAAATTTACCCAGAGTTGTAACTTGAGAAGATCATCCCTTTCCTGTTGAGGAACATGTTACTGGAAGTAGATTTCAGGAACTTCTTGAGTTCCAGACTAGTTTGTTTAAAGTTATCCACATGAATTCCTTTATCTTGTCTTGTGAGAGTTGGAATATGATGACTATATGGTAAACAGATCACAGCCATAGTTCAGATCCAGTGATAAGCTATATACTATAGACGCTTTATACCAGCCATTATCACCCTAAATCTGTTGTGAGCGCAGAATGAAAATTTCTAATAATGGGTGGTGGTAAACGAAGTGTAGATTCATACCATTACTTTTTCCATGCAGGTGTGTACCAGGATGATGAAAAATTCTGTAAATTCCATTTTGATTAGTTGGTGGTGTAGAAGTGGACATTAACATAACAGAAGCTTGTGCATTCATATATGTTTCATGATCTCATGGCATTTTAGAGGTAAAATTTTAATATATTTTTGAATTATAAAAGTATAGATTGCCATGTGCTTTGTGTGCATGTATTTATGATGGAACATGGCAGGACATCCATGGAAAAATCCTTTGGAAAATGGCCGGATTTTGTCACTTTATGTACCAAGTTATGGAAGTCTTACTTGCCTATGAAGTGTAGTGCAAATATTTTGATTCAGAGGCTGTGGCTGAACGCTATAATATATGGTTCAATTTCTGATAGTGATGTGTTCAGGCAAACTGATGTGTTACTCATCTGTATGCAGATATATGGGCTTAATTGAATAGAACAACTTTTGTGTGTATGTGCATGCGCACATTAGAATTGTAGTTTACAAAGGCACTGTGTATTGTCTTCTGCCCCTGTGCCCCTATTACATGGGTTTCTTCTTCCACTGAATTATGATTTGATGATGGTATCAATAGTACAGCTATGTGAGTGCTTGTGTAAGTCATTGTAGAAGTGAAATTTTTTTTTAATGTTGAATTTTAAGATTAATAGAATGTTTTATGCTTTGTGTGCATATTTTTTAAGATGAAAGATGGCAGAACATCCATGGAAACCCCCTTTGGAAAAAGGCTGGATTTTTTCATTTTATATCCCAAACTAAGGAAGTCCTAACTGACTATGAAGTGTAATGCAGCCATGGAATCTTACAATTGAGGAGAATATTGAAGTTCAGTACATTGGCCCAGTAATGTGAAGGATTGGGCTAGAGATTGATGGGCGTTAAATGGTGTCTGATTTTGCATAAGTTTACTATACATTGGGTGGCCAGGCTTTGATAGGCTGTGTGAATGTAATATTACATTCTGATTGGCACTGAATGCGGGTGGGATATTGGCATTGTATCCAACAGGTTCTTTATTTCTTTCAGTTGGCAGCGACTGCTTGTTGGTTACATCCAACAATCTGCACAGGAGCTGTATTTTTATTCTTTTCTTGGTGCACATACATCTGGGTTCACAAATCTGCATATGTATCAGTGGGCATGTTTGTTATGAATGCATTCTCGCATAATGTAAGATTACCATAATTCAGGCTGACTTTGTGTTCATGCCTCTGCTGCTTTGTCCAGTTTTTGGTGCTGCATCCAATATGACAGAGTCACATGAAATCATGATGCATGAAAGTGAATCAAGATTCATGGTTGAGTCTTCTCTAACTCTTGTTTGAAAGGTGAACTGCAATCTTGAGAGTGATACATTTGTGTAACTTTCAAGAAGGTGGAGTAATGTCCATATACTTGAGAACAAATCCTGTTGCAAAGTAGAAACTGAAGAGAAATTTCTTCCTATTACATGGAGGCATCTTTTGCTTCGGCATATGCTACAAGTTCCAAGTAGTGTTGGTGTGGCATTGTGTCTGCATCCTCAAAAGAGCAGTTTTCAAGAATATTGCAATTTTGTGCTGGGGAGTTTGTATTTTTGTAGATAGAATTTTTGTATCAACCTGGCACTGACCTTTGATGATTCAGCCAGTCAAGTTCTTGTTATGGGCACATACATACAGATAGAGGGCATTCCAAAAGCCATTTTTTTTTGGTATTCAGGGATGCTGAAAACCTTTAAGTCTGTCATAATCTTGAGATTGGTTTTTTTTTGCGACCAGAGTGCTTTCTCAGACTGTGTAAATGAAGGAATAAAATATGAAACTGTATTTAATTCATGTTAGTAAAGTGACAGTCAGTTTACATTACACATTAAATGTTATCAGCTGCAATTTGCAATTTATGCTGTAATCTGTACAATAATATGAACATCTGGCAAGAAGCATAGATCAGAAGTCATGAAAATTTACCTTCTTATGAGTATTACACTGGGAGATGATTTGGTGGTGGGCCACAATTCATTCATCTGGTGTGGTGGGAGGCTCACATTCTATGCACATCAGCCCACACAGTGTTTGTTTTAACTCATCTTGTATCAACAGGCCAGTAGTGTATGCCAGCCTTTCTGAACCTTTTAACCATGGAGGAACCTTGCATAAAAATTAGTGTTAGTAGGCTCTGGATTTAATGTAAATAAAGGTTATAAACTGATCGTAATTAGTGCTGTTTACGACATGAACATTTATTGACAGTGTTGAATAGTAAGTTTGCTGAAAGTAATATGAACAAAAACGTCATCTGCATCATCAAAAACATTTGCTGCACAGATACTTAATTCTGAGTCAGACTTTTGGTAAGCACACACAGAGTTCATTTTGTACTGAAATGAGATGATTTCTATGAGTATCTTTGCTCTTGATGCTTGTTAAACAAGAAAAAGCTTGTTCACACCTGTAAGAAGTTGAAAATTACAGCACTATGTTTATTACTGTCCTGTGAATGGCAGGATACTCTTCTTTCATGGAAATCCAGAACTTGCCAGTAAATCTCATCTTGAGTGTTTAATCAGACTGCAGCTCTTCCTTTTCTCTTAAAGTCAAGTTCTCAGACTGAGCAGATGATTCAGACTGAGGGTTCCTCAGCCACTCATACACTTGTGTTGAAAGGGAAAGAAAATATTGTTTAATTTTTGTTCCACAGTTCTTTAGGGTGGTGTTCAATAAGACTCATTTATGCATTTGTGCAGTTTGCCACAGTTGAGGGACAAAAAATAGGACAACTTGAATAACCAGTCCATGTAAAGCCCAATGATAAGTAGCTTTCATTGTAAAGATGGACCTTTTTTTGTGTCCATTGTTGCACTCCTGTAGTGAAATTTGTCAGAAGCTTGTGATTCCTCATCACTATCATGAGAATTGTCTGTATGCCTAGGACTGAAGTCACACGCCTTTTCTTAAAAAATTCCTGTATGGGACCGTCAGACATTTCTGTAAACCACAAGGGTTAATAAAATGTAAAAAAGAATGGCATAATAGATATAAAGGTGGGCCTGGCCCGTATGGTTGTGAGATGTGGAGGTTTCTACATTTTCTAGGCAGTTGGCTCATAGATGGCTGTAAGGTTGTCAACCTTATACGCTGGCCACCTTTTACCCCCAAGAATATTCCTGATACTCATTTCTGTTAGAGGCTGAGTTGACCCCAGGGCCATAGTGCGGCTGGAAGGATTAGGTAAATTGCGGGATTCGATCCTGCAACCTTCTGGCTTGTAGCATAGTGCCTCAACCAACTACGCTACCGTGTGCCCCATATCGCACCTAGGTAACATTTCTTACTGCTTTCAGTTGTAATTATTATTATAGTAGTAGTAAATAGGTAATATTGTACTGTAGCATCCTGTCGCACATCACTTATTTAATCCTGTTATTGTCCATCTCACACGCAGGATTTTTTAAGATGTAAGAGGAAATTGCTGCATTGCAATGCAAATATAAATTTTAACAAAACATGCTTAAAATGAAGACAGTCCAAAAATATGCACACATAAAAAACACCAACATAACATACCAGCTAAAACACAAGCACAGACATTACAAATAAAAAATGAAATAAAATTTGTTTATAAAATGAAACACCAGCTTAACGGGGATCTTTATCACGTGTATATGCCAAGCACACACATGGAAATATAACTGGAATAACCTAGAACAATAGATAAATAAAAAAAATATGGAGGAAAATGAAAATAATAAACCAAAAATAACAACAAAAAATATCAACATATCCAAAGCACAAATAGAAAACACAACAAAAGAGAAGAAATTACCCCATAGTAATAAACCACAGACACATTTTACACAAGAAGAGATACAATTATTAAATGAAGGACTGAAATATAATTTGCACTATGAACGGAAAAATTAGTTAGAAACGTTAGCATTAGAAGCAGAAACTGTAATAAATAAGCTTTGCATAACAGTGTAACCGATCTGCCAACCCCAGCTGAATTTAATTTAGTAGCATGTTTTGATCCATGTAAATTAACATATTTGGTTAGGTTTACTTGTTACATACAGGAAATGGATGAGAGGTACATAGGTTATTTCTTCCCCTCAAGAAGGAGTTTTAAGCCAAACTCTCCTATGAAAAAGACAAAAGAAAAATGACTGGTCAACACAGATGTGAAGTGAAAGAGGAAGCTTGGCCCTTTAGAAAGTCACACAAAATTTTACTTGTGTGAATCCTTTGAGAATACAGTATGTGACAGTTTTGAACCCATAACTTAAAAGATGGGTGGTCTCTCAACCCCAAGCCAAGCTTAACATTTGTCAAGCTACTGACAGGATTTACGTTAAGTTTTAGCGCCTAAATTCCCTGTAATACCTAAACGGATTGGGGGAATACTTAATTAGTGTACTCCCATTTTTTGAAAATGACCAGTCCTCCTAATTTAGGGAGTTGACTTGTGGACCGAGATGACTCCGAGTGTTTCGAGGAGAAGGGAGTCTGCTAAAAGTCTTATTCCAGATCGCAAACCAAGCAGACGCAAATTCAATCTAGTGCTGTAGTGGTGTCCCTTATGGACAACAGTTTAATAAAGTGTCTTGTGGAACAAGATGTGTGTGTTATAACAGGAGTTCCCACTTCCCTTTCTGAGCGAGACCCTGCCAAACGACCCGAGGACAGAATCTTAGCTCTACTGGAGAACTAGATACCCACAACTGCTACCCCCTTATCAATCCTTCACACCTTTCCTAAATATGTAAACTGATGGTAGCAGTTTACTGGCGCCCAAACAAAACCCATTACCCTAAAGATTAGAGGTGTGCGAGTATGATAAGTGAAGAAGGGTAAAGCCAGCTGTAGCCGCCATCCCCCATAGCAGTCCAGCAGCCGAAGATGACAGTAAAGTAAGTAGACACAATGAGCGAGCCGTTATAATATGACGACCGACGTGTCAGGGTGGAAGTCTCACTGAGTGTGTAGAGACCAACACGAGAGGACAATAGAAGAACAAGGCGCCCGACGCAGAGTTGCACTGAGTGGGTAGAGGTGACATGCAAAGATAGTTAGAAGATGTAGCCCAATGTAAGGGCTAACAACAATTATAATAATATGGCGCCGGACGTAGAGGCCCAGTGAGATGATTATAACAGAACCACATCATTATAGACTATTAAAAAGGTCGACCAGCAAATAGACTTGAAAGGATTCTGACGATGGTGTATACTGTACTTCTTTTGGCTTATTTTGGACTTCACCCATCGTCTGGTATGTAAAAGACAAAAGACCACAGAGTTTCAGAGACTGGATCTGGCTCTGGCTCTGGCTCTGTCTTCAGGTGGATAGGGAAGGATAAACCTACTCAGTTGGGCTCGTTAGAAAGAGCTAGTCTCAATCACTGGACAAACCCTGGTCTGTAGAAAAACAACCTATGAACAACTGACAACCGGTTCCATCATTGGGAGAAAAGAATAAAATCACAGTAAAAACAAGATAGAAAATTTGTGCCAAGCATGCACTTGTCAACAATGTAAAGAAACAGAAGTATAGGTTAATTTCCATGAATTCAGTTAAAAATGGAAGTAAAAACTGGATAATGCATGCCTAATCTGCGTGGATAAAGAATCATGCCACAATTTTTCTGTCATGTTTTTGCTGTGATTTTATTCTTTTCTCCAACTGATGGAACCGGTTGTCGGTTGTTCATAGGTTGTTTTTCTACAGACCAGGGTTTGTCCAGTGATTGAGACTAGCTCTTTCTAACGGGCCCAACTGAGTAGGTTTATCCTTCCCTATCCACCTGAAGATGGAGACAGATCCAGTCTCTGAAACGTCGTGGTCTTTTGTTTTTTACATATCAGACGATGGGTGAAGTCCAAAATAAGCCAAAAGAAGTACAGTCGACCAGCAAGATAATAAGAACATTATAAGAGAGAAAAAAGATTGGAAATTAATAACATAAGAAACAAATGAAGAGGAAATGAAGTCACCATAACAAAAGCAAGAAAAAGGAAAACCATAGCCATACTAACCGAAAAATACCAGTGGAAAGTAAACAGCTTTATGCAAGATAAGCAGTTCACAGTACCTAACAGTCCAACACAAAAGTATCAAAAAACTATAAAACGAACACTAAAACATTATAAAACAAGGAAATACACAGACAGTGTTTTTGAGGTAACTGGTACACATGTTTATGATTCATCTACATAACAGATCTCTCATGCCTGGCTCCTGTGGTTCATTAGTTATCACTATATCTATTTATTCTTAGTTTATTTAATGACACTTTCATTTCCAAAGATAATGCATGGAGATTTGTTCCATGTTACAAATTTTGTTATAATAAAGATGATTTTGTATGGAATATATTGTAACAAGAACAAGAATGACCTCTGTTAACCACAATTAAATTTGACTGCAATATCAAAATAAGCCAAGACTGAGTATAAGGGCAAGGTAAAGTTTTTCTTGTTCTTAATTATGCACCATGCTATGAAGATGTATGGGGAGTGGAGGTATAGCTCCACCAGTGTTAATGTTGGCACAAGATGGAGGTGAGTGGTCAGCTTCATGCCCTTGCTGCTTTACCTCAAGGGAATGAGCCTTTGTTACCCATTGAATAAGAGACTGTGGGCCCCCTTGCCGGTCAGGATGCTGTGGAGAAGAGAAAAATCCCTTGGCATTTGCAGGAATCAAATCCCACTTTCTCAGCCATCCAGCCTGTAGCCCTGAGTATTGCTGCTTGAGCAGTAAAAAGGTGTCTGAGCTGAGGTGTTCAGTTCAGTTTGTACAGTTCACAGTGCAACTTAAACCATGGAACTATTTATTTTGGAAGCCAACCCATTACATAGCACTCAGAATTGTTTGATTATGTGGAACAAAAATATAACATCCAGATAATAAACTTTACCTTGCACTGTCTTGAAGTTGATGTTAGTGTGTAAATAGTGAAACACAAAATTAGTCTTGGAGTAGTTATATTATGGGCTCTGAACAAGATAAATATTCTCGGCTGAATAGTTCCTGCATTTATTGGCATATTGATGTAAATGACTCATTTGATTTGCCAGGATCTACACCATCGAGCATCTTTGATGTGAAGGAGAACGATGATGTGTCAAACTCACCTGATGGCCTTTTCAACCCCTCCAGGTACTTTTGTTACACAGTTACATTTCATAGTCTGGTATGTACATTAAAAGAAGAGTAGGGGATATTTTAAAATTTTTTAGGTGTTGGCACTAAACGTTTGAACATTCTCAGTTTTAGCTGTTTTTGGATGAAGTAATTTTTAATATGAAAGAAATTATAGCCATCTACTGAAGTATCCACTGACTGAAAGTAGTTTATAAAAGAAGTAGATGTATGTACTTTGGTAAGCAGTGAATGATGTTACTAAGGAAATTCCATATAGTATCTGTTGAATGCCAATTTCAGTTTCAGTTATTGAAGATCAGGATTGAGAATTTAGTTGCTTAAATGTTTCTGTTAATTGTAGACTGAAGTTAAGAGAAACTAAATTATTTGTGTTTTTTAATTTGTTTGTGTTCCTTTTGCTTGGATTTACATCATTGTTCAGGATACAGTAGTGTTCAGTTTGGCAGTACTACTTAAAATGCCTAATATTTTTTTTCATCAGACCAAAAACTGAAGAAGCTTGATTTTTTCTGTTGTTGGCTGGCGTTCAGAGAAACTGAACTTCTTGAGTATTTAATTGATTTGTGTTCCTTTTGCTTGGTTTTACATCATTTTTCATTATACAGTAGTGTTCAATTTGGCAGTACTACTACACATGCTTAATATTTTTTTTTTCATCAGACACAGAACTGAACAAGTTTGATTGTAGCTGGAGGAGCTAGAATGTTTGTTTCTAATTTGAAATTCACAAAAGCTGTTCTGAGCTTGATTTCTGTGCAGTAGATTGGCATGAGAACAGAGTTATCACAAACTGCAGCCAATGCAGAAGTAATATGAAACATGTTATATTTTAGCGTCCTGTTGCACTGATTTAAGTCCATGATTTATTTCAACCGTCTTCCAGTGCAAACACTCATCTATCTCCTCTTCTCTCTTGCACTACGTGTTTCGGCACAAAAGTGCCATATTCAGGTGCTTATTCAATCTACGCCAAACTAGTTCATTGCATGCCTTGTCTTCATATTAAAATAACTAAAATATATATTTATCAATATATCAGTGGAAGACGGTTGAAATAAATCATGAATATGAAACATGTTTGATGCGTTATTTCCTTAAAGAATGTATGAGTAACAGTTGAGCGCATGTGCTGCTGCTTCCCCATACGTTATCTGTAGACAGTGTGAAAATTAGTAGTGCCATTGCATTTATGTATGTAGTTTGAGAGGTGGTCTCTAATTCTTGTTTTTGAGTCCAGAATTATGTCATTTCTTTGTGGTGACAAGGTCAGTTTATTGGTGAGAATTTTTTAATTCTTCAGCATAGTCTCCATGTTCTTGATTGTGCTGTGCCAGTCCACTGTATGGTAGACTTCATGTTCTGATCTCTAAAGAACGTTTCTGGTTTCCCTGCTTCTCCTTTGACGTTTTCAGAAGAAACTTCTACTTTGTAAGAACTCTTTTGGTGGTGTGTAAGATCCAGACTGCATGGCAGTTAACACCTTTGTTTAACTGATTGAGCACTTCAGTTTTGCAGCAGGTGTGTCTGGATGTGTGCTGTCGTGAAGCATGAGAACAACTTCACAGCCTTAATCTTAGTAGTTTCTTCTGTTGGCTGATAGTAATTTGTTACATAGCACATCACAGCATTTTGTACTCTTGATTGAGTCTACCTGTTCATGAAAATCAGGAAGGATTTGCTTTTCAGAGTTGTAGGAAACAATGAACATCAGTTTAATGACACAAGCATAAATTGTGAATTTTATGTGCAGTAGCAGTAGGTTAAGAGCTCTTGATTTAATTTCTAAACAATGCCATATTTCTGATTCTGTCTTGCTCAGCCACTCAATTCGCAGCATTTTATGGAACCCAGAGTTAATTATTCTAAATCAGATGAATCCAGTCCAAACACTTGCATCTTATTTCTTTAAAATCCATTTTAATATCCTCCCATCCACATCACCGCCTTCTTACTGTTTTCCTTCCTTCAGATTTTTCCACCAAAACATTGTATGCAGTTCTCTTCCATTTGTGCAACATGCCCTGCCCATTGCATCGACCTTGATTTGACCACTCTAGTAATATGTGGTGAGGAGTGTACTTCATTCCTCTTAGGTCCAAATGTTCTCAGCACCCTGTTCTCAAGTACCCCCAGTCTTTGTTCTTCCCTTAATATGAGATACCAAGTTTCACATCCATACAAAACAAAGGAGAAGTTATAGTCCTGCTTACATTCCTTCAGATTGGGCACAGTCTTTTAAATTATGATGTTTGTTATATGGTGATGCAGTGTCTGTACACAGTGTAGTGTATCCTTTATTTTACATGTGCTAGTATAAAATCTGTTGTGACTTCCTTATGTTTCATGGCATGTTGTGCATCATCATGGAAGATGATCAATTCTTGCATTTCTTAATAATGCTGGGGTTACCAGGTGTATTTAACTGACAGAATTTTATGAAATCCTTGTGATCATGTCATTCATATTGTCTTAAAATTCTGATAATATCTGAATAACCATTTTGGATTTCAGTCTGTAAAGCCTCGGAAGTTTTTCAATTATCTGTAAAGACTCTGTTTCACATTTCTGCAGTGGTAAAAATGGTGAATGTTACTGATATAGTCCACTGCTTGGTCATTTGTTGAAACCATTTGTAGACCCCACTAAGTTTCATGCGGTGTTTCTTGTCTTGGTGAAAATATGTGTAACTATAATTTACAAGACATGTGTTGTTCAGTGCAGTATTTACAGTGGTTCGACAGAAATACAGAATGCTCCCAGCTGACTCATTGAAAGAGTAAATGAGCAAAAGTTAATGGAAATGAACTGTGCATTTCTTGTCATGATGGCATTCCTGCAGCAGAGTGTATGTCAGTGTATGATCTGCTGCACCATGGCATTAGTCAGCTGAGCATCTGTTTGAACAAAGTTCTGTATGTCAGATGTGTTGCTCTGTAGATGGCCTTTATTGCATGCTGTTCATACTGGGTGTCATGAAACTCAGTCACTTAGTGTGTGAATTTATGTGTATGTCATTGAATGTGGTGACATGGAAGGCTGTACAAACCAGCCTGTTAGACTTTTTTTTACTGTCATCCAAACAGTTACTGTGCAGAATTAAAAAACATCAAATTTAGGAAAAAATTGTTGATAAATAATAAAGTTTGGAAGAAGGGGTAATGTTCTTTCGAGCAGTGTCATCTTCGTAGACAGGAAAGTTTGTAAATTATGTTTGCTATTATAGATCTCAAGCTGTGGATTGAAAGAAATAACTAAGAAAGGAAAAATGGTACTCTTTGATGCAGATCAAACATTTAACTACAGTTGTATGGCTCAGAACTGAAATCAAACTCAGAGCAATTAGATATAGTAACCAAACATTCTAATCCCTTTTCAGTACTAGCTTGTTCTATAGTATGTTCACTATGTAAACTACTTTTTGCAGAAAATTATTATGGGGTTGCATGTGCTTCTTCCGTACAATTGTATAGAAATAAGTATCTGCCAGAACGATTGAGTTTTGAAAAATTAATCATGACATTGCAGTATCAAAGTTCGTGTAGTGTAAACCCAGATTAAGCAAGGTAGAATGGCCTGGGCTGACAATGAACTTGAATACAAAACATTATTAATTCTATAATGAGATAATGCTGCATTTGAGGCTTGTTCAGGATTGACTTTTTGAATTTAAGATTATTGCTAGTGGGGGGGGGACTAAGTCCCTTGTACTGCGGCCACTTCTGGCCTATCAAGATGAGAATTTTCTCAGATAGATCAGTTTATTCACCATAATCACAATTTATAACAGTCAGTAGTTTTTCACATTGCACTAGAGTGTGCTTATCTGTGTTTAAATTGCATCCATTTTCAGTAACAACTTTTCACAAATTATTTTATTTAAAAAATTATAAAATTTAGGGCCATGCCCTTTTTCACTTTTGGCGAAATTAAGGGGGAGGAAGGGGATGAGAGGTATTTTGTTTACAAATTGATTCATGTTAGTGTTGTCACCCATTATAATACTGGGTAGTTTGTGTACTCTGTGCAGAGCAGAAGCAAGTTTCTGAAAATTCTCGAAGTTGAAGCCTGAGAAATCAGTGTTTTAATCAATATCAAGATATTGTTTTTCTCAAATTGATCTCCTGCTGACAGTAATACACTTAGAGTGCAGGTGTGCACCCATTTGCAGGCGGTTGGGCTTCTCGCCTCAGTCAGATCTGGCTCAGGAGTTCAAAACCACAGATGATGAGGTGAAGTTTGGATGCAACTCTCAGTTTGTATCCATGATTCTTCTGGCCGTGGCGGCACTGTTTTTTACTGTACTGGCCATCATGTATGTCAGCATGCGATCGAGGGATGCTCTCAACTTTGGCTTAGAGGACAAGGGTGAGTTCGGTTGTTCACATGTCACTGAGTTGAACTATGGAACTGAAAGCCGGATGATGACATTTTATTCTTTCTTGCAGCAAATACCTTCCCAATCTGTCCACAAGAGGTGGCTGGGGCCAAGTCTGTTACATCTGAGGTGAGGAAGACTTGTTCAACCATCTGTAAAATTAATTGACCACAGAATGGATTGTGGCAGCTTTTGAGAGTTGTTTTGCCACAGGAAATTCTGATCTTGAAAAATACTAATGGAACATTACAAAATATGATGTGTGACAAAATATCTGCATATTGCACATTCTGCCTTAGAGACAGTGCTATGTTTTTAAGAGAATTGAGAAACTTCCTTGTTGTATTTATCGTTGCTGCAAACAGAAGGGCTTTTGAAGAATGCTGTCTTCTAGGGTGTGGTGCTGTGTAGGTATTTTGTTAACCAGTGTTACAGAGGAACATATCACCTGCATCTTCAGGGTATAAGAAATCTGCGAGCAATGAACCGGCATGAGCTGATGTCGGTAGACAGTGCCAGTCAAGACACCCCGCTAAATAAGAACAGGAAAGGAAGGGAGAGGGGCCACATGGAAAATCAGTAGAGGGGAAGAGATGGGAAGGGTCTGTGGAAATGGGCCAGCAGGTAGCAGGCCAGAGCAGGTATAGGATCCTGTTGGGGGGGGGGGAAGGGAAAGGCAAGGTTACCGTGACAGCAATGACCCAATAGCTGTGTGGCTAAGCTGCCAGCCGTGCCTTGACCTGCGTAGCCACATCCCAGAAGACAGCATTCTTTGCAGTCACCGCCGTGAAAACCTCAAATCTTACAGAAGGGCTTTTGATTTTAGCACGAGTGAAAATTGTCTGTGAAAAGTGCTGCTGTTTTGGAATGTCTTTCTCACTGTTTCAACCACAGCTTTAACTGATATTCAGTTTAGAGTAACCTTTGTAAAAGGATTATGAGAAATTACAGTAATATCAAGTAGCATCATTTCAAGTTGTGAAGCTGAACTAACACACCAAGGTTTAACAGCGAATGAAGTCAGCAACGTTAATTTATGATACCTACTTCTGCTGGTATATTCAGACAGTACATCAGACACTGCAAATATATTGTCACATGTTAGTGACTAGACATAGGCTTTGGATTGATAATTGGATTTATTGAATGCTTATAACTTGTAACTGCAAATAACTGTAACATTCACAATGATGTATACATTCTACAGAGCACAAATACTACAGCACATATAAAGTCTTCTGTTTGTTCACTAGTCGTTGCTAAGTAGCGGCTGCTCACAGTGCAACTGAAGACTGACTCAACTGCTGCTGTTGGTGGTGGTCAGTAAATGGCCTTGGCAAGGACTGAATAGAAGGACCTGCTTCCAACAGTTCCAATGTTGTCGCAGGCTGATTTGTTGCTGTAGAAATGTGTTAGCTGTGCCATTGCTTAGCAACAGTTTCATCTTGTTATTCCACTATCTGGCTTCCAGCTCTCATGTCACAATTAGTTGGATATTTACATGTCAGTTTGTACAGTATTAGAACTAGTTGAAGTATGGAAGACAGCATGCTCCTTTGTCCATTTGGTGTGTGAAAAGTTTGTACTTTAAGCAACTTCAGACACAGGTGCTTGTTATGCCCACCATCCAATAAGGTAAAGGTAATGCCACTGTGCTTAATTAATTAAGCCTCACACCATGAAGATGAATGGGGGCGTGGAGATACAGTTCTATCATTCTTGATCTTGACATTAGATGGAGGTGAGTGGTCAGCTTCATGCCCTCCCTCCTTTACCTCTGGGAAAGGAGTCGTCAGCACCAGGAGGTTTGCTGGTCCCCAGAGTCAGTGTGGATACTGTGGAAAAAAGAAACATCTCTTGCTGCTGCCAGGGATCAAACTTTTCCTTAAGAGATGTTCATAAACAAGAGTGTTTTTAAAAATATTTTTGTGGTTTGTCCAGGTGATACAAATTATGAGTGGCTTACAGTCTAGTCAAACAGGGAATGACACTGTAATTTTTGTTTCCTTACAGGAACTCTGTGTGGATCATCAAGAACTGATGCCTGCTGTGAAGATGGCCAAGCTTCTGCATCCTGTGTTGAATCAACGGGCTATCAGCCAGCAGTGTTATGGTGGACATGCTGCTATGATGACACACAGTGATGTCATTAAGTGGCTGATGAAGAAGGATACAACAGTGCGTAATATTATGACATATTTTTAATATTTTCAAGCTCTGTCACAAGAAATTTTAGCTTTCCTGCTTATTCAGTCATTGGCTTTGCTTTTTTGATTTTAAATTTTGAGTACTCTGAGAATATATGATTATTACGTGACATGTGCATGTCTGTAAGCTCAACTTTAGCCAAATGGATTTTCATGAATGAATGTGTCTAAAATGTTTAAACAAATTCCAGTTTTTATCAGACAGTGACTGCCACTTCTTTTCACTGTCCAGCTTGCTCATGCAACCCTGTACTCTCATTTAAAGGTATCATAGGCAGAAGAAAGTGAAAAACTTAGAGCTCACAAACAGAACTGTTTTGTAATGCACATTTATGAGAATAGTATTGTGTAGAGTGTTTTTTTGATATGTTTGAAGTTTGAAGTACAGACACACTTTTTGTTATAATACTGTGATGCGTTACCATACGTCCACCGCGACAGCCGCTACAATCGGAACAGACACTTCCACTACAACGAATACATGGAAATTGTGGAGTTCCCGCAGCGACAAATCGTAGCAACGAATTGTCGTTGAGTAACAACGGATGAGACGAAATACGTTACAAGTGTAGTCTATAAGGAACGTTCCCAAAGCAACGGATTGCTGAACAGTGGTAATGGAAACATGAGAAATGATGTCTGGTATCCGGTCCGCATAACCTGTGTATAAGCAGAGCTTACGACACGTACAGAGCATTGAGTATTGAGAACGAGACAATCTTGGGATAGCCGCCGCCGAAGACCGTTGAGCTCCAACCACGGCCACGGATAGTTGAGATGTCGCATTGGAGTATTGGGCCAGAACTCAAGTGACACTGCAAGTGGTGATAATTGTAAGGTGTGTAAGAGTGAGTGTCCAATAAAGATTCGCTAAATCCGAGACCCACGTGAAGTTATTTGTTGCATGACGTACCCAACACATGACAATACCGTTAAGTGAGAATTTCGGAGATGTAGAAAGATTTGATGGCATACAAATGCTAATATTTTGGTCATGTGTTATGTTTTCATCCATGTATAATGCCTTCAGAGGATTTCCATTTCACCCCCCACCCCCGGACATAATGTTGTACCAAAAGTAATCATCAACCTTTTTAGTAGACTGAAATAGGAAGCATTGGCTTCAGTTCTGGGTGTTGTGTGTGAAAACCAGGTATCCCAATAGGTTAGTAGGAACGTGTTGCCTGGATTTGTGTATCTTAGCAGTAACACTGAAATAATGCTGCAGCACTCAAAAACATAATGTGGCTGCTTCTGTAAACCTGACAGAATAACTGAAAATTTGATGCTTCTGTGCTTATCTACAGTGTTATCATGACATTTAATTCTCTTTGCTTCTTGTATTTTATGTCAGGCAGGCAGCAGTTGAGTTCATACTTCATATTTATAATTATTTGTGTTACATCCCCATGTATTGCATATTTGGCATTGTTTCCCACTTTTTTGTGATATGAAACTATCTCTATAAATGAAGTGAGTTTCAAAAGGTCACTTCAGTAATACATGAATGTTCCTGTATTTGAACACTGGGATTGTGGGTTTGATTCTCACTAGGGGCATACATGTTCTGTTTCTTCTGTTTGTTTTGTCCTATGTGAATAGGACCCTTGCTAGCTATGGGTGGATCATCTGCCTAGTGATCCTGTACAACCTTCGGAAGATTAATATTTTTAGAAGTTTACTTTTAATTAGGACAGGCCAGAGCAAATGAACCCTAAGCTAGAATTGACCAAGGAGAAGAATAAGAAAGGACAAAGAATGTGTTTATTTCTCAATGAAATGCAGCATGGAGAAGGTTGAAATTAGTTAATTATTTCCAGTGCTGTAGCTGGGATACAATTTTTGGTGGTACCCACCATTACTTCTGGTAGTGCATGATTTTCCTCTCCTCCACAGCATCCAGACCAACTCTACCCAGCCTCCTGTCCAATGGGTACTGGGGGCTTTTTCCGTTTGGTTAAAGCAGAAGGGGTGTGAAGCTGTTCCCTCACCTCTATCTAGTGCTGAGGTCAAGAAAGTTGAAGCTATACCTCCAATCATCTCACATCTCTTCACGGCATAGTGCTTAACTAATTAAGCACAGGGGCAGCTTTACTTTACATTACTGCACTTTACTTTACTGTAGTTTACAATTATTGCTGCCTTTTGTTGTTGGATATGGGGTTCTTACAATAATGCCTAAAGAGTATGGTATCCTGGGTTGTAACACCTTGTAGTTCAGAAAAAGCCCAGTATTTTGGTGGAACATATGACCTCCATACTTAGGGCTGAAGAGTAAGCTAAGTAGTAAAACAGCAAAAAGCAGATAGCAAGCAGAGATCTGCTTGTTAAAGCAGTAAAAAGCAGTCACAAATTTGCAGCAAGGAAATAAGACTAGTATGTGGCATACCCATCAATCACAACTTTTGTTTTTAATAACCTTTATGAGACGGGCCGTTTAAATTGCCGTAATCACAGCAGGCCAGAGTTAATTTAAATATCCGCCATTGTAGAGTATTAAAAATTGTAAGCATGTTACTGAAAATGCTGTGATTTCTACAATTTTTGTGATAAACGAACGAAATAAACGCTGCTTTTATCTAGAAGGAATATAGAATCAGATATTGTAATTTACAGATTTTAGAATCTGTAAAAATTGTTAAATTGAGTCCAAAAATTTTTTTCCTAATTTTGAGTGTCTGTCCACAAAAATGCATAAAGCTTCTGCACAGAACGTTTCTGCAGTATAAATGCATGCTGCTGACGCACTGTCTAACTATGTCTTATCTGGCAAAAGGAGAAGGAAGTTTATGTTTGTACTGCACATTCTCCAGTCGGGAACTTTTCTGTATACACAAGTGTGGGCGAAGTCTTATCGTGCTTTGTCCTTATGAAACACTGCCTGTTTATACCCCGGACTAACCACACAGAGGTACTGTTCTTGGAATATCCCCGCAATGCCCCCTTGCTTCATCGACCCTTCAAAATCGTCTGTACCGCATTCTGAATGGTGTGATTTATGAGCAGCCTCACAGTTTCAGCTTCTTCATTGCAAAATGGGGCCATGGTGCATAGTTGAAATTACGATGTTTTATAAGCGTTACGATTAGAGGACATCACTGGCCTACTTCCTGTAATACGAGAGTGAGGTGTCGTGTGTGCTCTTCGCGTGGGAAATGGAGTTACATATGGATAAAGTGCATGAAGTGTGATGTCGAACTCTGCACTCAATTAGATGACGCAGGAGGGAAGACTGTCTACTTATAAAGCGGGTGCCCAAAAGTAATGCAAGTAGAACAAGAATTTCTATCTTAAAATTCGATTTTAAAACATTGTGCACACGCGTTGACTGTGCGTACCCATACGGTGTCGCACAGCCACTCAGCTATACTTTAAAGGTCCCCATATGGTGTCGCTAGGCTCTTAGAGGATAATTAATGAGTAATGAAATGATACAGTGCAGCATGTTTTGAGTGTTCTATCCAGTTTCCAAAATGTCATGTCCTCTATTACCTAGATCTCACCTGAAGACGGAAACACATCTAGTTTTTGAAAAGTCTATTACCTAGAATTCCAGACAATGGAAAAATTCCAGAATCCCCGTAATTACAATATGTGTCACTGTTTGATACTGAACTGCTTGTGCAATGGATCCATTGGTACTAGTCTTACCATGTAAAATACAAAACAGTACATATAAATACATATGCATACAAACAGATACAAGTTACAGTGTTTAAATGTATTAAAATAATGTAATTTGTTTGGATGACTGAGACGTGGGTTTGGATTGGTAATTGGTTTATTGGATCTTTACTAGGTGTAATTAGACTTAATTATTACACTAGTAATTGAGACTGTTTGTGTCATGACAGTTCCTATCGTGTGGCTGTGTGGAAACCTCCATGTAAGTCAGTGGTTTGTTAAGTTGACCATGAAAAGTGGAGCACCTCAAACACTCGTGGAAAGGGAGCCTAAGCTCTGTGCTGAGGTGCATGAACATAGTAACACAGAATTATTAAACTTATGTCATAGTTTTTGTTACACTGTGGATTATTATTCTGTTTAGAGACTAGAATATAAATGAGCTGGAGGTGTGCAGCCCACATCACAATGTACTAGATTATTTAGCTTTCAGTATAAATATTAGTAGATAATTTCTAAACAGATTTGATAGTTGAAATAGAATTATTAAATAAATGCATTTGCATAAATGCTGGTGAACCATGAAAGAAGTGTTTTTGCCCCTTTGTGCATTGAAGTTCAACACTATACAGAAATTACTTATCAAAGGTCTAAAATGCATGTTCCCAGCAATATTTGTTGAGAGCCCCGAAAATATATTTTCCTTTCAAAAGGTTAATTGACTCCAGTGTGACTGATAAAATGTTTTTTCTTTCTTTCCTTTTTAATCTTTCATCAGGATTATGGAAATATTACATTATACCCGTAATATATTTGCAGAGTCCTGTTCATCAAACGATAGAACCACGAGGTGATAAGACACTCAGCTTCCTCTAATGAGAGGCAACATAGAGGACACAAACCAAATTCATTCTAAAAAATTTTTTTTTTAAACTACACATGTAAACAGACTAATTGTAGTGATTTATTTATATTTATTTTTTTCATGCACATTGCTATAGTTGTTAAAGGGTCAGATTTTATATTCATGGCATTGTGATGATATTGTATGTATGTATTGATACTGACCAAACACATTGTAATAGTAGTTTCTTCCCTTATTGATATATCCTGGAGATAGTCTCTAATAATTAAACATGTGGAGGATGAAAGATTAAAAAGGAAGGAAAGAAAGAAAAAATTTAGCAGTCACACTGGACAGTGTTGATTAACCTTTTGTAATATTGCTAATGTGACGGACCAGGATGAACCAAATCAAATATATTTTTCTTATTCACCTGTTGAAGAGTTATACAAGGCATGTGTAGTGGATATTGGGTTCTGGAAACATGAACTGCAAATGCAGTTTCTGCAACATAGCATACATAGTATTAACTTTATCCTTTGTTCACAGTTCAGCATGCTCAGATTATGATTAGTAGTGAGTGACTGCCTGTGTGTAAAAATTATAATTTGTGTTTTGCTGAATGACACCTTACCCATGTGGTCATACACTTCCAATTTAGCCTGTCCCTCTAATAAATGCATGTGATCAGAATTTTTTTATGTTGCAGAGTTTAGCGTTTGTTCTTGTTTATTATAGTTAATAGGTTTCTGTTACTGTGTGGTATCAGTATATAAAATTTGGGGAACATGTTAAGAAGCAGAAGTATCACTATCTTGAAGAGTGTAATAAACCTGCAAAGTATTCGGTTTGGTAGAACTTTTGGGTGTCAGGTATAGTTCGATGAATTTCAAGCTGGGTTTGAATTTGCTGATGAAGATTTATTACATAACATAGAACTGAAATTTACAAGAAGGGAGTAAGAAGTAAAGGATGCATTTCTGGCTGCTCTTCACTGGTCGTACAAGCCAGTGGTCTAGTGCCATTTGGACAGGTCTCTCCTCTTTGTAACATAAAGAGCAGTATGTTCACAGGTGACATGTTGCCATCCAGGTCTCATACAGTAATACCAATGGTTGTAGTATCAGTTTAATAATGAAGTACAAGTTCCACGTGACAGTTTTCTTTTTTTGCCTTGTTAATATTCTTGTTTGTTTCTGTTTCTAGAGTGGCGGACTTTTGGAGCATCACTTACGGTCTCTCAAAATACTGTTAATCTCAAACCCCCACTGGGGCATACAAGTGGTTGAGTCTCCAATGGCAGATACTACTGGAAGTACAAGTAGCCACTATATAGTGGACACAGGTGGCTTGATTGTGACTGATCCAGATTTGCCAGTTCTTTGCTACTTGAAGACCAAAGTGCAAGGAATTTTGATCACTTTCATGTATAGTATTCTTGGTAAGTTTTGTGTCTCTTCCCTGTTTCTTTATCTGCACAAGAACATTTGTTGTTTAAGCTTACTGTGGTGGCTGTTACTTGCCTCATTTGGTTTCTGCAAGGTGTGACATTTCTTCTTACATTTGGTAAATTTAGCATAGAGAACCTTTCTGTTTATATCCATTAATCTGTTTACCTGTAAATAGACAGAGAGGATGGTAAGTAGGCATGTAAGTGCCATATTTACTCTGGTAATTTTCCCCCCCCACCTCATATTCTTGAACCTCAAAAGATTTTGGGGTGGGGATTATTTGAATTTTATTGTCCATGTAAACTAAAAATTCTTTTTTAATTTCAAATAAGAACACTGATTACTACTGCTATGTTTACAAAAAGAAAATAGCTAGCAGAATTAGAGAAAGAATTAAAAAAAGTGAGAATTTTGGTCATTTGTCTCTCATGATTGAAGTGGCACTTGTACTCACTCGTACGCCAGAAGAAATGAAATAGCAGTGGTCGCAATTACATCCAGTTATCGTTGACTCCCTGAGAAGGTGAGAAGGGTAATAAATTAAATTTGTAAACTGTAAGACTTCTTGTAAGATTTGAGGCTTTCACGGCGGTGACTATGAAGAAANCTTCTTGTTATGGACCCATAGTTAGGCATACAGTTTTGGCCACCATCTTTAGAGAAACCGACATACCCCTTCACATGTCATTTTCTTTGGAAATTGACTGTAAGCCATGTCTTAGTTGTTCTTTTCTTCCCACATATCTTTTATCCCAGTGCTTCTGAAATTCTGGCCTTCTTGAAATTATGAATAATTATGCATTCAGGAATAAGTCCCCAAATCTGGATGATGCATTCTCAGATTATTTTGAGCAGTGGTTTCTTAGTTTTCCTTTTCGGTGTTAGATTATGTTTCTTAGTTTTCCTTTTTGGTGTTAGATTATGTAGTCGTTCAGCTGTCCTTTCTGAGTTGAACCTTTGGACATAGTCTTTAAACGGCATGTTCTCAGGCACACACACTTGTAGGATACGCGGTTCGCACTTCAGTGGTTGTGAAAAGTTTTTATCTTCTGGCATATAATGCTGTGTACCCTGTTGAAAGGCAGCCAGCATTCCAGAGGAACTTACATACATACATAATTCATAAATTCACTGATCCGTTGTCTGAATTGGACAGGATATTGAACTCGTCAAAATAAGACTTGATTGCAGAAGTACCATCGTGTCAACAGCAAACAACCACACACAACCTAAAGCACCAAATAGCCATAATTTACATTGTCATTCATAAGCAAAATTACAAGGAATATAGTTATTAAATGTTATACATGCTTAGCAGAAATATATTCATCCATTGAATAAAAAGCATTTGTTGTGAGGAAACTTTTCAGTGTGCGTTTAAAAATCTTCACACTATCACTCATCCTTTGTATATTTTGTGGAACATTATTATAAACCATAATGAATGAATATAACACGCCTCTCTGGATTGAAGATAATCTCACTGATGACACAAGTAGCTTTCCAAACTGCCTAGTGTTTATGTGATGAATATTATTGTTGGTTTGAAAAAAATTGTGATTTCTAACAACAAACATCAATACACAGAATAGATATATAGGCTAGGAACTGTCAAAATACCCAACCTCTTAAAACCTTCTCTACACGAGTTTCCAGGACTCACTCTCAGCATAACCCTAATCGCTCTTTTTTGGGCAGCAAATGAACTTTTTATAACTGGAGAAGAACCCCAGAATATAATACTGTATTCAAGCTGAGACTGATGATAAGAAAAATAGACCATTCGAAGAGCTTGTGGATATCGTGTAGATGATTCACCAAATCTGCTGCATAATCGGTTGTGGGTAGTTCTTTGGGGGTACCCCAAACAGCAGGTTGCAGGGTAGTCGTAGTTCTCGTCCGAACACTAGGCTAGCAGGGGTCAAGACCATAGCGTCCTGAGTGGATGCCCTGTAAGCTAGGAGAAAGAGGGGTAACCTCTCATCCCAGTCCCTTTGGTGGGATGCAATGACCTTCCGCAAGTGCTCCTTGATGGTCTTGATGTAGCGTTCCACCATGCCATCCGACTGTGGGTGCAGGGGTGTGGTGCGTGTCTTCCTCACTCCCAAGCGTTTGCAAAACTTCTTGCAGTAGATGAGACTCAAAGTTACGGCCTTGGTCACTGTGCAACTCCCGAGGTATGCTGAAGTGGCAGAAGAAGTTGGCAACCAGAACTTCCGCTATTGTCGACGCCTCCTGATTTGGAATGGCATACACTTCCGGCCACTTGGTAAAGTAGTCCATAGCGATCAGTAAGTATCAGTTTCCTTGGTTGCTTCGTGTGAAAGGCCCTGTGATATCGATGGCTATTCTCTCGAAAGGAGCCCCGACATACTCGTGCATTTGCCCACGATTCCTTGTCTGTGGTCCCCGACTGGCTGCACATGTGTCACTGTCGACACCATTTCTCAATATCAGTTCTTGCTTGGAGCCAGTAGAATCTCTGCTGAACCTTATCAGAGTTTTGTTGACACAAGTGACCTCCTGACGGTCCACCGTGTAGTTCGCTCAGAACGTCCTTCACCCTGCTCCGAGGAATAATTATCTCGGCTACTTGACATCTTCCGTTGGCGGATTCCCAGTCGCGCTCTAGTACGCCATTTCTCACAGCAAGTGATTTCCTTGTTGTTTTCGGGTCGCCATTCCGATTTCCCCAGTGATTCCCGCTTATTTCTTGGGGGTCCTTCTTTCCGGTCCTGGTGCTGTCTATTGTCATTTCCTCTGCCGTAGTGGCTACTGCTCTCAAAGTTCCAGCTTCTGGACTGTTTAGCATCTCCTCGTTGGGTGGGGGACCATCAGAACTTCCGGTATGTCTTGGTGCTATCTTCGTGAGGTCTAGCTGCTACCAGTACCGCCTGCAGCTCTAGTGCTTGTTGGAGGACCTCGTTTACCATCGTCTCCCCCCCCCCTCTTCGTTACTGAAGACGCCGTTCGGATTGTTAATTGGGTTATTTAACAACCTACAAGTATGGGCTACAATTACTTACAACAATGTAACGGGTTTCCACAGTTTACAAACCCTACACACAAATCAATTCACTCTATTGTGATTCACTAGTTACAACTAAACTCGGTGACTGCTACAATTCAGTTCAACTTGTAACTCTCCGCTGGCTAGATTCCAACTCAACTCGTAGACTGCTGCCTTGAGAACTGTCTTTGGCGGCTGTGTAATTCCCTTATAAACCCTCAGCCGGACAACGCGAAAACAGTTACGTAATAGGCACCACTGTTGTCTGGCACCGTGTTTGCCTGTTATGTAATGGGTACCGCTGTTATTACTGTTGTCTCTCGCAACCACAGTTTACCCGCTTTGCTTAGCAACCAGCGTTTACTCACTTTGCATAGTGACCAGCGTGCTGGGACTCGGCTCACTTCGGCTCTGCTTGGCACGTCACGGCTGGCGGGGAGGGAGGGGTGTCATCCATAGCGCAACACATCACAATACGAGTATAAAAATTAAACAACATTGGTCCTAGGACAGATCCCTGGGGAACACCAAACCTTACAGATTTCCATTCTGAGATTGTAGTAGTCGAATTACAAGTATGCAGCACAACTCTTTGCATTCTATTTTTTAAATAAGTCTCCAACCATCTCAAAACGGGCCCTTTGACTCTATACATCTTCAACTTTTGAATCAACAGATCATGACTGACACAATCAAAGGCCTTTGTCAAATCACAAAAAATACCTACCACAAACTCCTTATTGTCCCATGCTTTAGGAACAGTATCAGTTACATTAAAGACTGTAGTTTGTGTAGAAACATCCTTACGAAAGCCATGCTGCTCAGGAACCAGGATATCATTTCTTATAAAATGCTGTTTAAGCCTGCTAAACACTAATATTTCAAATAATTTATAGAAACTTGTCAATAAAGATATTGGTCTATAGTTGGCAATTTCAGTAACATCACCCTTCTTAAAACATGGTATAATATTTGCATATTTCAATCGATCAGGACATATACCTGGACTTACAGGAAGATTATAAATATAAGTAAGTGGTTTTGCTGTTTGTTTATGACATAATTTAATAATTTTATTTGACAACCCATCATATCCACAAGAAGATTTATTTTTTAATGAATTTATCGTGCTTAATACTTCTGCCTCAGTAATTGGAATATTTACAATTTCAGAAATCTTATCTGTAGAGTACTCACATGAAAGTTTAAAAAACATACATTATTAGAACTCTGACCAACTAATTTGTTAACTGAACTAAAAAAATATGAGTGAACTGCCTTAGCTTCATTCCTACTATCGATTATTACATTACCTTCTCTCAGTTCTGAATATGAATGTTTTTTCCTCGACTCTACCATTTTCTCTCTTTATGATTCTCCAGGACTCCTTGGATTTATTAGATGCAGCCATTATTATTCCCTCATAATATATAGCTTTAGTTCTTCTGATAATTTTCTCAGCAACGTACAATATCGAGTGTAATACTCCTTTAAGCGTTGGTAATTAGTAGATATAATCATCAAATACAAATACTTTTTTCGCTTACAAGAAATTTTAATTCCTTTAGTGATCCACTGGTTAGGGTACACATTATTTTTGACAAATTTTGCTGGAAAACATGTTTAAAAAATCATTAAAAAGATATTCAAATATAGATTACAACTTTTGTTAACATCAAGATTACTTAAAACCCTTCCCCAGGTTTCCCTACTCAGCATCTCACTAAAAGTTAATGATGCCAGACTCAGATATATCTCTTCTGTTAACTGATCCACCCTTATTCCTTCGGCGGTTCACAACATCACAATACTGAGCATCGTGATCTGAAAGCCCAGTGATTACTGAGTACACCTGTAAAGTATTTAATCTGCTGTAATCCAAAAATATACTATCAATAGCAATACTGGTATCAGTTGTAATCCCAGTTGGAAATTTGACGACCCGAAACAGGTTTTACGTCTGATATAGTGAAATAAGCTGACGAGATTTACTTGAATTCTCTAAAAAATTTACATTAAAGTCTCCACATACACTCAACTCTCGATTATCTGGGGGGGGGATAAACCGGTTTGCGGCTTAGCCGGTGCTACCGGGGCTTCTTTGAGGCTTATATGTTTAATATTCATTCACTTTTGTTTCACATGGTGAGTTGTAACACTATTTTCGCACTAGTGTGAACCTAACTCTGCATTTTTTGGTCCCGTTATGCTAACACAATGTTGTAGGGTAGGGGTGAAAGAATGCAAGGATTTGTGGAAAGTTTCAAGGACAGATAGACCGCCCGAGTTAGTCTCTTTGTGCATTAGCAAAATGTCAGGGTGTAAAAGGAAGCGTGTTGTGATAAGTATTGTACAGAAACTCATGTGAACCAGGCTTCGAAATGTTAAGTAGTGACAAAATCATAAGTTCAGTGGTGGTGCAGCCAGAAGAGCGGGAAGAAAGTGAGAATGAGGAAGATGTGGACAGTGCTGCTAGTAAGAAAGTATCACATGGTGCTGCTCTTAATCATTGTAATCCTTACTAGACTATCTTGAGAGTGAAGAGAAGAGTTTATTAAGTGACAAGCTAATATTACATAGGCTTCGTACGGATATCCGTAAAAAGGAAAATGCCGCGAAAAAGCAAATGACAATATTAAATTTTTTAAGTGTTAAGTGTGAATATTTGTAAAAATTGTTGGATGTTGTTGAACACTGTGATTGAAATAAATAATTCATACTTCTGTGTAATGTAAAAAAATTATTAAATAGGCCATGAGATGACATAAAAACGAGGTTGAATAAATTTAAATACAGGTAGGTCTGTAGTATTATGAAGGTATAGTATTACAGTACTACTTTTAATAAAATTTGTCTTAACCGGGTTTTCGATTAATCGTGATTTCCATCCCCACCATTATCCTGGATAATCGAGAGTTGAGTGTATTATTAATTCAAGTTTAGGCTTGTAAACAAATTTCAGTATTAGTTCAAATTGCTTAATAAATTCCTCTACATTTGCACGAAGAGATCTGTAAATACATAGTATTATAAAATAATTATTACCAATATTTAATCGGACTGCACAGGCCTCAATCACCTTTTCCTTGCAATATTGTGTTATATCAATTGGAATACAGTCCATATCCAATTTACAACATATTATTTTCCTGGGGAGTAAAGTGCGCCCGGAGTGTAGGGCTGACAACCTTACTGCTGTCTTTGAGCCAATTGTCTAGACAGTGTGGGACCCTCAACATCTCACAACCCTATGGGCCTTCACGGCCTGGTATGGGGATAGCTTTACTTTACCTCCACCGTTATTTAATGATCATGAGAATTGAGAGGTTAAACAATACTTTTCTGGTTTGATCAATAAAAGTTTCTGCACAGTTAAGTAATGTTCAGTTAAACAAATTACATGTGGGCTTAAGTCATAACTAGTTAACATACAAATCAGTTCATCAATTTTATGTTGTAGACCTCAAATATTTTGGTGAAATAAATTATAAGAGCTTATCTTAGTATCCTTAAGTTTAATCTTCGGTGCTTGACTGAGGTCACAACTACTGCATGAGGTCTTCAAAATCAATACATTTTGAGGCATTACCATAAAAATCATCACCCAGCAACTCGTTGCTTCCATCTTCATAGTTGTAGAATAAGTCAAACTAGAAACCAGCATCAAGCATATAGGCATTATATTGCAGAAGATAGAAATCTTGAATGCACAGTTGTATATGAATTCATCTCTGGAGATTGATGTAAGATGCGGATGTTCTAGGTGTAAGCGAATGCAACAGACTTATGGAGAGATTTTATAGGAAGCAGAGGAATCTGTTAGCTCTAAAATAAAGCTATATCTGTTCCATGTGTTGTGGATGGTACTTCGCAAAAAAGGGTGTCTTCAGATGAATAGTGGTCAAGACAAGAGCATCTGTAAATACAAGGCAAATGTTGCATAAATGTAATCTGATTTAATTTCCTTGAATTTATCAGTAAATAAACTGACAGAATACAACTTTACCTTAAGGAATGTACTTCTGGCAAATACTTTCCTGCTTATTGTAGGAATTTGTGTGCTCTATGGCATCAAACTGGCAACACAGTGGTACATGAGGCGCAGGAAGCAGGACAAATTAGAAGTGTATAAGATGGTAGAACGCATCATTGAGCTTCTGGTGAATCACCAGCGGAATGCCTCACCTGGGAAGCAGCCATTCCTGGCAGTCAATCATGTTAGAGACCAGTTGATACCTCCACCAGACCGCAGTCGTGAGTTTTACAATTGTTGGTTCATGAATAGAGGTATTCCCAGCATTTTATGGAACCTGAAGGTTCATTACCGTGTTCACAAGAGCCCTCCACTGGTCCCTATCCTGAGCCAGATCTATCCAATCCATACCATCCCATCCTATCTCTCTAAGATCCATTCTAATATTGTCCACCCACCTACGCCTTGGTCTTCCCTGTGGTCTCTTTCTTTCTGGCTTTCCCACCAATGTCCTATACGCATTCCTCGTCTCCCCCATTCGTGCTACATGACCTGCCCACTTCATCATCCTTTGATCATTGTAATTATACTTGGAGAAGAGTACAAGTTATGAAGCTCTTCATTATGCAGTTTTCTCCAGCCTCCTGTCACTTCATCTCTCTTCAGTCCAAATATTCTCCTCAGACACCCTCAGTCTATGTTCCTCCCTTAATATCAGAGACCAAGTTTCACACCCATACAGAACCACATGCAAAATTATAGTTTTGTATATTCTGATTTTTATGTTTTTGGACAACAGACAAGAAGGCAAAAGGTTCTGTACTGAATGGTAGCAAGCATTACCCGAGTTCAATCGCCTCTTAGAGGTATTACATAATTTTAAGTTGAAAGCTAAGCAAAACATTCTCCAGGCAGTTCTCTTGTAGGTCTGTGTTTGTAGGCCAAAAGAAATTACATAACTTTTAAATAGAATCCTTGTTATGTAGCTGTTTTACAGACATGATTCATTTTTTAAAATTCAGTGTTTTTAAATACCTTAAAATGCTGCAAATGTGCTGTTCGTAGCACTTTTTCTTCAAATGATGGTATTTCCCTTCTGAATTTGTTGGTGTCAAGATCCTGCCACAGCTTGCTAGAACATGAAGGGTTGTGTGGGAAAGAATTTTAGAAAAACACAAGCTGTATTTGTGGAGAAACATGTATCCTACTTGTAAGATTTGAGTTTTTTTATGGAAGTGACTATGAAGAAAGCAGTCTTCTGGGATGTGGCACCATGTAGATATTGTGTTAACAAACGTTTTGGAGGAACGTATCACCTCCATCTTCAGGGTAGAAGAAAAAGAAGAAATCCACTAGCGAACCAGTATGAGCAAGTGCAACAGACTGAGTCCAGTCAAGTAAACCCAGCTGTATAAGAGCAGGAAGAGGAGGGAGAGGGGCTACATGGGAAATAGTAGAGAGGAGAGTGGAAGGGTCTGGGGAGGTGGGCCAGCAGGTATAGAGTATTGTGTTGGGGGGAGAAAAGGCAAGGTTAATTGGAGGGCATTAACCCTGAAGGTTCCAGGCTGCGAAGTGAGTCTCGCCACCGCCACCACGTCCACCACCAAGCTGTACTTTCCACTTTGGTGTACAGGACTAGAGCTCTATGTGATCAAGACAGCCTACATGTGGAGTTGGTGCTCCTGGGGGACGTTTTCAGGCAGAACGGATACAACCACTGGAGATCCACAGAGTTCTCAACTGTCGTCTGAACATCAGTTGGCCCGACGATAAACTGGACTCAGCTGCCTTCCTGCCTTATATTGGGACTATATTCAACCGTATCAGCAGAGTGCTGTCCCAGCACAACATCAAATCAGTGGGCATGCCTCCTAAGAAATTATCTAGTTTCCTCCGGCCAGTCAAAGATAGCCTGGGACTAAGGACACTGGTTGTATACAGAATCCCCTGTGAGTGTGGCAAGGTCTGTATTGGGCAACGGGCCATTCCATGGACATGAGATTGAAGGAGCATCAGCAGCACATCTGTCTTGAACATCCAGACAAGTCAGCTGTATCTGAACACAGCATCAATTTGGGACACCGCATTCAGCTTCAGAATACCTCCATCCTCACCACCAAGACCCGATATATGAATCACATGATTAGGGAGGCCATTGAGATTGAACTCCATCCCGACAATATGAACAGAGAGGTGGGGGTTTGTCTCAGCAAGTCATGAAAGCCTCTCATCTGTTCCCTCAAGAAACCTCCGGGACATGATGCCAGATCCACAAGGCCTTGCAGGTCCATGCCCGACTCTTCGCAGCCCCGAACCTTCAGTGTTAATGCCCTCCAAGTAACCTTGTCTTTTCTCCCCCCCAACACAATACTCTATACCTGCTGGCCCACCTCCCCAGACCCTTCCCCTCTCCTCTCTACTATTTCCCGTGTAGCCCTTCTCCCTTCTCCTCCTGCTCATACTCGTATACAGCTGGGTTTACTTGACTGGACTCAGTCTGTTGCACCTGCTCATGCTGGTTCGCATGCAGATTTATTCTTTTTCTTCTATCCTGAAGATGAAGGCGATACGTTCCTCTGAAACGTCAGTTAACATAATAGTGTGACGTATTCGCACTATGCAGGACACACCCTCCCCCGCCAGCGGTGGCATAACATCGCTGCCGCTGCTATGGTAACAGGCCAGTCAACACTCTGCCCCCATCCCCCACGATTCGTGGCAGCGCTTCTCACTGTGACGTAGCAGGTGACAATGCAGGTAACACGAGGCAACAGGGAGCAGTATAAAAAGCTGGCGGAGCAGTATGTGAGGAGAGTGTGTCATCAGGAGTGACACAGTGCGGATTGTAGCAGTTGCCGAGTTCAGTTGTAGCAAGTGAATCGTGAATGTGAAGAATACCGATAGTGTGAGAAGTTATTGGGAGTCTGTAATACAGTGACACTGGTATAGCTCCCGTATCATACTGTGAATACATGTAGACTACTGAGGACAGTGTGAAGAGATTTGTGTGTAGGGTTTGTAAAGTGTGTAAACCCGTAACAGTGTTATAATTAATTGTAGCCAAGACTTGTAGGTTGTTAAATAAACCAATTAACAATCTGAACGTTGTCATCAGTGGGAAAACACGTTACAATATCTACATGGCGCTGCATCCCAGAAGACTGCTTCTTTCATGTATCCTGTTCTTTCCTTTTTGCTTCTGTATGGACAGAAAGTAGTATTTTTGAACTGTTATGGAAAGAAAATGGAGCAAGAATTATTTGATCCAGATGATGTTATCAGTTGTCATAAGGAAGAAGATTTATAGGTATAAAAACTCAAAGGTGACATGAGAGTGTTAATAAGGCATGATAATATGTCATATCCATTGTGAATTTGAATGTGTATTATGATATGCAAAATTATGTTTACAGTTTTCTTAAGAGATCTGGACTAAATGTTGTTGCCCTGTTTGTATTCTTATAATATAAATTTATTAGAATAACAGTGTGGAAAAACTGCAGGTTTGGCAAAGGTGTGGAACCAGGCAGTGCAGTGGATAAAGAATTCAGAGTCGCGTGTCCGCTGTGAGATGCAGTCTATTGCAGGAGAGGAGTTTCCGGTGTGGCGCTGGCTTCCCCATGCTTCAACATCATACATCTCTAGGTGAATTACTATGTGTTCTCATTATTCTAAAATTGCCGACTTATTTTATTAAAGAAAATCCAGAAGCACATCGTAAAACTGTTAAATTGAGAAGTTCCTCAAGATGCCTGGAAGAAAGGAAGAAACAACAGCAGCAGTGAAGACTTCTGTATTGTAGGATATAATACCATGTAGTCCATTGAAAGTCAAGCAGTGTTTTAGAGTAACATGTTGCCTCCATCCTCAGGGTTGAAGAACACACCAATTAAGAAACCAGCATGAGGCAGGCAGCAAGTAGAGGCTCTGCTTGTTCTTGTAAAATGTTGGGTGACTTTCAGTGGACTACACAGTGTTACATCCCAGAACTGAGGCGGTCACACATAACCCACAACAAACTTCACAACACGTACACTTTTTTTAATTTTGGTTAATTACATAGTTAGTGGCACACCTGATGGCTATACAGTTCTTGTTCCTCATTCGAGGATAGAGACTTACATGCGTCTTAACAGTTTAGGAACTGTGCGTTGTCTGTCTTTGAACAAAGAATTGTGTTATCACGCTACTGTCGCTAGGCATGACATCATCCAGTAACTGGCACTTTGATTCGCTGGGTTAGCTGCCTTACGAAGCTTGCATCATGCCTATTATTATTATTATTATTATTATTATTATTATTATTATTATT